ACCACCACCCCCCCCCCTCTAAAGAGTGTCTCGGTACGACCTCCCACTCGAAAAACATAAGATGTTATCAAATCGGGCACTTAACTTTTGAACGTTCGCCATTCATTCAGCAGTTGCACTGGAGCAAGCTACTTCGCGGTATCTTTTCAACAGTGGTCAGGAACCTCCAGGGCTCCTGGGCCAGGAAATACCCTTTTTGGGTATCCATCACTTTTTTAGCGTGAGCCTCTGAAGAGGAGAAAGCACGATGTGAAGCTTTTGCTTGAAGTCTCCATAAATGATCTAATTAGTAGAGAAGAAATATTTTTGAGTATATTTTTGAATATCATCAGATTCTGATCATTAGATATGATGTTCAGACCAAAGCCGTTTCCACGATCAACATCCCATCCAAAAATGCAGGAAGTCACGGGCGAGTTCGAGCATCCAGTAGTTCGACCAAGAACGAAGATTTCATCCGAAAACACCTCAAAAATTCATCTAGGCAATCAGAAAATGCCACGACGGGTTGTTGAAGAGCTCAAGACAAAATTCAACAGCAACGATTTACCAGTCATGCGAGTAAGACTGCTTGTTTGCTCTAAGAATGCAGGTTTAGCGAAACCATTGCTTATTTCAGAACTCCAATCAATCAATAAATATTCGAAATGGTTCATCAACGTTGGCTAACCGAGCCCCACCACATCCACCGTATCGCCTTTTCGGTGACACCCTTCTCAGAGAAGGGAAGTCAAGAAGTTTAGACAACCTCGCCGACACCTTCGTCTCCACGTGAGGGATTTCGTTCCAGACTTTAAACAACTGGTATCAGACCAATGACAGATTTCTCTACTAACTGCTTCAGCAACGTTAGGCTTCGTTCATACTTTGCGGCAGCGTCCACCAGCGACCAATAGCGTCCACCAGCGTTCCGAGCGTTCGGCAGCGTCAGCGACTAGGAAAGTATAGATATCGATAGCGTCTGCCAACCTACCAGCTTCTGGAAGCGTCCACCAACGACCGTTTTGAGGGCTAGGGATGTATAGCTATCCGTCTAGCGTCTGTCAGCGTCTACGGGCGGCCACCAGCGTCCGGGAGTGTAGAGTATGGGACGATAGGAGCAGATAGCTGATAGAGTATGGAGAGATGGGAGGTTAGCAGACTGCTGGTAGAGAGTATGGCGCTATAGGAGGGTAGCAAGCAGCTGGTACCCTCCTATCGCCCCATACTCTCGAAGGTCGCTGGTGGACGCCTGTGACGCTGACAGACGCTAGATCGATATCCATACTTTCCAAGTCCGTCGGGACGCTGACGGTCGTTGGTAGACGCTGGTAGACGACCGTTGGCTATATCGATATCTATACTTTGCTAATTGCTGACGCTAATGGACACTCGAAATGCTGATGGTCGCTGCCGCGACGTATGAACGCAGCCTTACCAATCAAATAATGCCCACTTCCATTCAGAAATCTGCGAGGTGGAGACCATATACCGTTGCATCGATTCTCACATGTGGAGCCATCAAATCCGTTTGGCACATTTCAAGGGGACCACTCAAAGATTGAAGGACTGTGGAAGCCATCAGTGCGGCGAGTTTCCAGCATCCGGTTGAACCTCTGAAACTGCTCATCATCACACGCGTACTCCATTTGCTTTGATTATGTTCTAGTTTTTGTAATATGTGTCATTTATAGCCGCAATTCATGAAGCTGAGTAATGGGTAAACGCTGACCCTATCCAGTACGCTGAACCAGACCTCACGCCTACACATTTTACCTGTAAAGTGGGATCTTCCCCTGAGTGTGCCAATACGCAACCACTTCCAAGGTGCACCTCTTCACCCACTCAAACGTGTGGGGCAAGGCACCTAAGACCATGATGCCCCCGAAGCTCACCCAGTCATTAGTGAATTGGTTGGCCTCCTGAAGGGGAGATAAACTTTACAATTGTCAAGCAACGTGCGCGACAAGCTGCAAATACCATATCCTTCCCATTGACGTGGTCCATTAGGCCGTCTCTGGTTGAATTGATTTTACAGCTAAGTCGTTTCTGTCCTCTTCTTCAAGCTGGACTGTCATGAACAAGAAAATTCTATTTCGACTCACAATCACATGTAGTCATATTAGTGATGCATATCTGGGAATCGTTTCACACACTTTGATCGAAACCAGAGAGAAGGGGGAAGGGGTTGTGGGGAGGGGAGATCGTGTTTGACATGGAGAAAAAATTTTTTCGATTGCTGGTTTCCCTTTTCATGCATGCCTTATCTCATCGGTTAAGTTATCGGTGAGGCAAATTCCTTTTTTCTGATAGTTGATCGAAAATGTCCACCTTTCCCAACCTCCTTGACCGCAATTTTTTTCGGAAATCGTGGTAAGATGGTAGGTAGTTTAGAGGGGGTCTATCGGTGGCAGAATATACTGCACCTTCGCTTGTTGAGGTGTCGGACTCTCCTGTTGAAAAAAATAGCAGCGAAACTTCACTGCAGCGATAACAAAAACATTGCGAGCGCACCTCAGCCGTAAACATGAGATGTTTGCGATTGTCGCGCGCGACGCAGCGCATACCTCGGCTACGTAACTTTTTCGGATATATGAATCGGTTTTGTCGCCCTCGTGATGTATAGGGTTGTGTAGCTTTCGCTTGCGCCATAGCCTGGCTTTACCGCATGTTCGTCCAATGATGAAAATCAACGCGGCATTACCTGCTACGCTTTCGACAGTATCGCACGCTTTTTCCTTCACAGACAAGTCAAACTGCACCTACAAATTCATATTTGCACCCCAATACCCACGACCTGCAGTAGCAGAATGTGCCTTTAAAGCCAGGTGGCACGACAAATCCCTAAGGAGAGCGGGATTGACACGATAATACGATTGATAGTTAATTGTTACTTGTTATTTGATACGCCTGGCAGAACTGAATTCTGCGCCCCTGAGCAGGCGCTGCGTAGCGTCCTCTCGAAGGAAGTTACCCTTATAAGGCCGTATCAAGCTGCAACGCATCGAGGGCATGAAGCGGCTGCATGGATACATGAGTTCATACGCCCTACTTATTCCAGTCGAAACACAACTAATAAAGCTAAGGGGGCTGTGGTGTAGCACACCTCCTTTGAAAGCGTGAGATCTGGGTTTCAGTGCTCCCGAGGCTAGGCGTTTTGCTCCATTACTCAGCATTTTTATGGTTAGACAATTTCGTCTGTTAATATAAAAAGTAATAATTCAGAAGGATAATTCCGATTTGTTTTAATTACACTGTGGATGAACTGTTTTATTACACTAAATTGAGTCTAACTGTTCGAGAACACTTTGTCTTCTCAGAGCCAGGATTCGCCGTTTTTCTTTCCAGAACTGGCGTTCTTCGGCAGCTGCTGAGAGGCGATTTCGAGCAGTATCATCATCCTGCTTTGGAGATTGTTGTGACTGAAGCGCTTGCTTTTCTAGAGACAACAGAGCGCGTTTCTCTTCCCAGTACCGTCTCTCTTCGATAGCGGCCTCCATGCGAGCTCGTGCACACTCAGCTTCAGCGCGGAGGACTTCCTTCTGTAGCTCCTCCAGCGTTTCCCTAAAAAAAAACCATTATGTAGCATTGAATTGGGATTGATTATTCGCACTCACAACGTGATGCCTAGTCCTTTTGATTTGTGAAAGTCAGTTAGAGAGCAAAGAGAGGCTTCCAGTGAATGAGGTGACGTGTCGATGATACTGGTAGTGTCGGCTGGGAACGACAGAGGCGGATCTGAAGCCAGCGTTTTCAAGTTAAATGAATCCACGATAAATGTTCCGTTCCTGCAGCGCACAAATTTTCATATAGAGACGCCGCTCAGGATTGTCGAGTGGGCGGGGCTGGGAAACGACGTCATTGGTGCGCCGGCCTTCTTCGCTACCATGGAGGGCAAAGAGAACGGACATGAAAATTTAGACGGAGAGCGGATTTCACCTCCCTCCCCTCCTCTCCCAATACTAGAGACCTCTCTTGAAGCCTTGAAAAAGAGCTCTTGCTATCAATTAGGAAAAGTTGTGCTAAAAATAAGGCCCAATAGCAACCAGTACAGGAACTATCATTATGCTTTGAACCCAGATGAGCTAATAAAGTCATTGATGGTACGTCTGCCAAGGAACCGTGGTTTTTTGAAAGAAACAGATAGAATCGAACTCACAGTCTGTACTCGAACAGGTAGGCGTATAGTCCACTGGCAGTTCTCCTGACAGCGGTAGCGATAGCAGGCCAACAGCACTCTAAAAAGGACTTTTTAATTCACTGAAATAATATGAGTAGCTGCAAAGCTCGTTGCTTACTTCGAAGGTAACGTGCACGAGCTTAAAGACACATTCCGCGATTATAACTCGTAGGCAGTAAGGCTTGAACACCAAACGAGTAGTGCAAATAGTGCAAATTGACTCCCCGGTGAAGGAAAGAGCAGAAGAAAAGCACTATTTAAGGCTCTCCTTTCTGCACCTCAGTCTGAGCATTGGACAGGTGTGCGAAAAAGGAAAAGGTCTAGAGACACCGAGAGCGCGGTAGAGAGATCAGACAAGCGAGGTATGAGAGAGCGGACAGTCG